TACTGGAATTCAAATCCTCATCGTGAGGCGCCCCAGATCGTGGCGGATCCGTCGAATCGGTGCTATGATACAGCAAACCGTTATTCAACGATTATCGGAGCAACCGTGCGCACAGTCGCGACGACAATTCCTTGTCCGAGTTTCCAATTTCCTTGCTTTCGAGAGCCTGTAACAGCGCTGCACACATACCATCAGCCGCGAATGCGGCGCGGATCAAATCCGTTGCTGACGACGTCACCGTCGTGAGATGAGCAAGCTTATAATGCGGTCTACACGACAACGCATCAGACAACGCATTCTACTTTCCTGGCTTATACTTCACCTCGAAGTTATATTCTGCGAGGAAGGAGAGCCACCTGGCCATCGCCTGCGAGAAGTGAGACGACTGAAGCTCAATACGTAGTGAAGCATGATCTGTGTAGATCACAAACGGCTTGGAGTCGAGCAAGTGCACTCAAAATTGACAATCGCATACTTCATCGCATGTCATCCCTCGTTGTGGACTGGGTAGTTCTTCTTCGCAGCCTTGAGCTGGCGAGATTCGAATGCGATCACATGATCTCGCCCCTCGGCGTCTGCTTGCAGCAGTGCACATCGGATAGCAAAGTTCGAGGCGTCACAGACGACACTGTAAGGACGATCAGGATCTGGCAACACCAGTATTGTTGCATGAAGGAAGCTGTCTTCAGACCTGTCAAAAGACTCCCGATTATCGGTCCTCCAACACCATTCCGTATCCTTATTAAGGAGATTCGACAATGAACGTGTCATTTCTACATAATTTGTGCTGTAGTTGTGCAAGGAGCTGCCGAGGCCAAGCGACGTGCGCATGTCGCTTTGGCTCTTTAAAACCGGCGAGTCCACAGTGTCCTTGACCGTAACGGTATCCGCTCGAAGGCCATGCTTTCCGATGAAGCACACTAAACGGGATCTCTTACGCGCCAAAGATGCATCCAGTTACATTAGTATATAGCTTTTGCGTGCATGCACTCGAGCACCGCTCTTAAATGGACGATGTGGCTAACTCTATTGGTCCTTTTGTGCTCCACATGAATGTGGACGAAGATGTCGTCGAGGTATGTCTGTTCATACGTCCGGTAGGGCCTAAACAACTGCGTAACAAGACGATTAAATGTTGCTGGTGCATTTGACCGCCCTTGAGGCATCACTAGACACTCCCAGAGCATGCCGCTCGAAGCAATCACTTGCTCTCATGAGCTGTTGGTAATGTCCATCGTCCAAGACGAGTACACTGTACTTTGTACAGCCAACCATGCTGTTCTGAAAACATAATTTCTAGGAATCGGCGTCTGCGCCAGAATTATGGCAGCACTTGCTCCTAGTAAGCGTGAGCGATACGCCACTTGACGTTCGGTTTCCGGATACAGAACGTAGTTGTCGAATGGAGAGACTTGCTCTCAAGACCCATACCTGCCTCGTGGTTTTCACGAAAGAAGGCGTTAATGACGTCAAACCGCTCCTTGGGCAGGGCAATTGACGTGTTTCGCAGTATCTGGTTCCCGGAACCACGTCGATCTCATGACGCACATTTCGGTCCGGAAGTGAGACCGACGGCGGGTCTTTGGAGATGATGTCTTTAATATCCCTCTCTAAATGATAGTAAGGATCCAAAGTATTTTTCAAGATCGAAGATCCACTTTGTGCGTTCAGAACCCTCTTGGTGTCCTCCGGGGCAGCATCATTCAGAAGCAACAAAGAATTTGATCTCCTCATCTGGTCGTATAAAGTCCACTCCGGCTAAGTCGCGTACCTTTATTGCACCGCCGAACTTTCGGAGAGACATCTCGTCCATCTCAAAAAGAGCCCCTACCGCGGGAATATCCTCGAGGCTGACGTCGCCGTCTTCCTCCCCCAGCAAACCGCTGACGAAGGTGTATAGCTGTGCGCCATCGTTGACGGTAGACACATTCTTGGTTAGGGGGGACGCCCGGCGTCTTGCAGCTAGAATACGGCGTCGCCGTCGCCTCCACATTTTTTTGTTTCGGTGAGACCAATGAGAACACGCACTTAGCGTCGTCCAGGGTTCGCCTCACTTCCTGCTTCACCAGAGCGCTGATAATATTAACAGCATTCAATGAAGAGCTGCTAGTTAGCAGTCTTCGGCCAATGGATAACATGCCACTCCACGCGCATCTGAAGTGCCTTGCCCGAGATACCTCGGACCTTGTCCGGTATGCCACTCGTGGCTTGCAGCGACTGCTTCGAAACGTGAGCAGTGCTCAATGAATTACGTGCTACTCTACGAGCAACACTGGGGCCTCGCACACGACGCCTCGGATCTCGTCCGGTCATGCCGCTCGTGGCATGCAGCGACTGCTTCAGCAGTTCTTAGTGGATTACGTGCCACTCCACGTACATCACTGGGGCCTCACCCTCAATGCTTCGGACCTCGTTCGACCGCTCGTGGCATGCATCGACTGTTTCAAAACGTGAGCAGTGCTCAGTATATACGTGCCGCTCCACGTTCAGCCCGCGAGCCATGCTCGAAACTCCTGTCCGATGCACTTTCAGTGTTTGACAACTCGGATACTCCGATCTCCAGCACGTTGACCGTCCCGGTCTAGCGCCCGCGCGAATAGCGCTTCTGCTTCCTAGCAGAGGTGGGTTCATGACCCACCAAAGCTCCACCAAGAGACGTGCGCGTAGCGCCCAAGTTCTTTGATCTCCAATCAATTCATGGCTCATGGTGTTCCAACCATGCCATACCAAGGTTAAGGTCATACCTTGCATCCAAGTCTAAGACTAAGCAGCGTTCCACGCTATCAGATCAAAAAACTTGACACCGAGGTCCACAGGGACCCTCGGCACAGTGACACAAGTCCCCGTCAGCAGGCGAACAGTGACAATGTCACTCGACCGTGTTTTCGGCGCCTCAGCATACAGCTGATTTCCTTCAATCGTGGAGCGTCGAGCATAATTGCCTGACGCCCCAAAATCGATAACGACCTTCTATGGCTTCTTAAAGCCCTTCACAGTCGCTTCCACGAACAGCAAACCCGGCTTACATACACGTTCCGTGTCCAAAAGCATGG